GCCTTTCAAGGTTAGAAAACACCTCACCTCAGCGCGCAATTCAGCTATCTTGTCCTCCAAATCCCGGTGCTGTTTGATAAGTTTTCGCGCCTCAGAAAAGAAAGCAGTGGGTGAGGTTACCAGGAATCCGAGCTACAAAATGAATTGAGATACCACGCTTGGCACGAAGTTCATATTAAGCCCAAAAACAATCGCTCAACCACCACTACGCAGTTAGGTGGTTGGCTAGTTGATTCTAAGGTCACACACCGGGCCCCAGGCAATGACTCACTGCTGCTACCCCCTCACGTCCCGCAATTCGGACAAACAAGGCGTGGTCAAAATACTGAGTCACCCTCAGGTCCACTTAGACCACGCAATGGTAATTATGGGACGTGTAGGCTCTTGAGCGAACAGACATGGCACGCGGACTTTGTTATGCAATCTTCAGGTGGGGCGATTTGCATCGAGGCCACTGACTGTCCAGAATCTGATTGGTGTGTCTGTTCCGGGTGGGATGTACTAGTGTGCACGCGTAGACGACGTGTGGAAAAGTGCGAGGAGTGACAACAAAAACGAACCTTTTTGGTAAACGCGGTTAGGAGTTCGAAGCCGTGAGCGTGCATTTGCTTAATGGTCCCCTCGAGTTCACTGGCGTGTTCCAAAAGTTGCGTCTGCCGAAGCCGCTCTCGCTCCAACTCCGCCCGTACCCGTTCAGCGTACTCGGGCGTGCGCATTTGTGAAAAATGCTGCATAAACACCTGTTTCGTCAATTCTGACGAGCAAGAAAGAAGAAGGGAGTTGAAAAGGACCAGCAACAGTGCGAGTGGTGGTATGGAAACACGCGACGGGGCTGCTCTCTACACCCAAACCTCACAACTCATACCCCTGCCTAAAATACCACACAATAAATTGCGAAATTGACGTCAGTTTCGTGGATTAACAATATCCAGAATCCTGCAGAACGCTATAAGCGATAAAAAACAGCGATTTACCGAGGTGCTGAGACAGGGCCAAGGGGACAGGCTGGTCCGCGTAGGGCAGCGAAGGGTCACCGCGCTGTTCGCCTGCGTCTTCAAAGTTCTTCACAGTTCTCCTGTGGAGTGCGCCGAGAGCGGTGTCTGCATTACCAGGGCATTTATTTGGTGCGCAGGTCGTGGAGGAGGAGGATGCCGCAACGTCGCACGACGACGACGACTTAATCAGGCCGTCTCGATGATGACTATGATTACCGGAGGTGGAGCAGTGGAGCCTACGCGCACGGAGCGACGGATTTCGGCTAACGGGGGCTGTGAATAGAAAAAACACAAATGCCAGCTGAGATGTACCACACCCATAATGACCCTGGATTACAAATACCGAAATCGCAAACATACTGTAGTTGCAAATTGACAGTGGAATACGCCATGTTTAGGAATGGAGGAGGATGGTCTTTGGAGGTAATGGAAACGAATAACGAGAATAGCCAAGACAATAGGTAATGTGTCAGAAGCAACAGCCGTTAACGTAGTAGGGACAACTAAGCGCAAAATTTGGTACCGCGATCAGTTCTCAGAGTGGATTTGACCAACCGAAGATTCGGTGGTACAAGACCCAAGCCGAAAATCAACCGGAGCATGGTGGTATCAGTGCCGATTCGCAAGAATCCATAAAATCTCACCACTGCTGAGAGTAGGTTCACAATTGGGCAGACGGAGGCATGACAAGGGCTTCACCAGGCCTGCATCTTCCTCCCCAGCGTGGGTGGTTGATGCAGAAGACGAGCGACTGCAGTCCTCCGACTGGTCACAAGAGGACGATGAAAGAGACGAGGAAGAGGCACAAAACCCGTCGGGGGTGCAATGAGGGCTGCCACAGCTTCCAGCAGCCGATGGCAACAGATCAGACCTCGACTTCATCATCTTCTTGGACTTCCTTCGTCGACCCTGTGGCTTTTGACTACTGTTACTTTCAGATACTGAAGAGGTCGTGCTCCCGGCCTTTAAATGAAAGATAAAGTCAAACTATTACCTGTATTAAAGCCACTAATCGGAGTGCTGGGGCGGTATGTGTGCTCTCAGTTAACGACTGTTTGATGAGTTTGAAGCAAATACCAAAAGATAGTCACTTTCAAGAAGATTTTGAAGGGGAAACACTATCAGATAATGTCCCTTTTACAATAATTTGGAAATGACTTTGAAGGGTTGAAGTATCAATAGATATTATACTAAAATTAGAGTTGCTGAATGCTAAATGACGTCATTTGTTTAAAATTTCACTCACCGACAACATTATTGAAAAAAAAGGGTGCTGCAAGAACGTGTTGCGGCCATCCACCCAATTTTATAGTCAATCCGAACACAAACAAATAAGTGTGCAACCCGAAGGTCAAATGGACTCTGCTGTGTGAAGTAAAAAAAAAGCACAACCTAAAACGGTTCACATGCGGTCTTAAGTGCAAGCCCCGCGTTTTCAAGCAGTGCAAATTTGAATGGGATTAGTTTTACACCCTCCGAGAGAAGAATACGGTATCGCAAAAAAATCACACAAAGGCGAAGAGAAGACGACAATGATCAGAACTCCGAGTGCTTGGCGATTCAACCACAGGTACCGAGCATTTGAAAGGCCCTCATAGCACGGTCTGGTTTATGAGACATACAAACATTTGAAAGGTACGAATTCGCACAAAAAATTGTAGATTCGCGTCGCAGAAGAGGTCGTGCTTCATGACGTGCAAATAGATCAACACCAGGGCTACATCAATGGCTTAAATCATCGCAGTTTAACAGTCTGTGTCTTCCAGACAACGCCTCTTCAGCCAGCCCACAAGGCGCAGACAGTGAACGATCAGAATTTCTCCAAAATGAAAGCCGTTTACCGATCTGTCTCTAGTTACTTCCATAATATACTTACGCAGAAAAAGGTTGATTTCTTTATTAGCTGTCTTCACAGCGATGTAGTCGGTGGCAGTCTAGTAGTAATAAGAATTTTCAATTTCAGTCAAACCATTCAGCCAGATTTTCGTAGACGACGATACGCTAACAGCACCAAATGCTACACCCAGCTCGGACGCAGAATTTGCGTTTTGGTTGCTTGTGGTTTTCGAGACTTCACTGATGGTGAGGTGACTTTATTTTGCATGCTCTTTGAGCCATGCCTAGTTAACAAGCCAGGGACGGCTTCAGGGACTCAAAACAACCAATAAGTGTGACACATTTATAAGTCCAGACCAAACAACGGATGGTTCAGGTATCAGCGTGAAAACCACTCTGAACAGATTGAAAACCGCTGTGACGCGGTACAGCAGAAAAAACAAACTATTTATAAGCCACACATAAACACACACCTGAGAGGCTTCAGTTGAGTTGGTGGTAGCCGCTGAGGCCCGAGAACGTCTTTCTTTCTTAGCGCCGTTTTGATCCCCATTCTGAAACATTCAAAATAAGGTGATGTGTGTGCACACATACTAACAACATGAAACCACTGGTTTGTACCTTGAGTCTAGGGTTCTTGAGCCTTGCAAAGTATTGTTCGAGCTAAAAAAAGAGCAAACAAGCGAAAATGAGGTTGGCAAGACGGTCGCGCAGGTTGTCAGAAAATGAGGTCACACGCGCGCGATCGTGCCGGCTAAGGCAAGCCGGGTCAAGCCATAGGCAGATTACATCGGAGTGGCGTTTCGACACGGCACGGCTGATCGATGGATAGGAGCAAACTAGCCACATCCAAGATTGGGAAAATGTAGCTGTAAACCACGTCGAGCAGTGCGGTTTAGGTGAGAGATTTGGGGAGCGAGTGGGTTGTTGCGGTTTGTGTACGTTCTCGAACTTTACCAGCAGCTAAGCATATTCGCACACACAAATTGCGGTTCGCCGTGAGTACCCCGAATTCCAGCGGCACGGACGGCGACTGTAAAGGCCATTTAATTGGTCGACGTCTACTGATGGACATTTGAGGTCACGGTGAACTTTGGCTACCAATGACCCGTGAGAAAGAAGGCATGGAAAACGAAAAGCATAGGTCCACATCGAGGAGTCCTGCATGCTTAGTGCCAGGTTATTTAGGTAGGACACTGTACCAAGTGGCAGAATGGCGTGTCGTTCTGCAGGTGGCTCTCAGAGAGCAAGGCGACGACCTTAGCAAGCACCTTATCAAGATGCGCTTCTGGTTGGATTACCGGTCGAAGCAAAGGACTCCACCGTCGGCAGATACACCTGGAGGATGTTTTGGCTTAAGCAATTTACGTAACCGAAGGACGACCGAGACGAACGACTGTGGCGGTTGAACGCTCGTGTGGATGTGTGTGCGCGCACACGCCAGGCCGGGTGAGTCATCGGTAAGACCGAAGGCTGTATTGTAATCCACACACAAGTACCCAACTCGCCACCATCAACGCCGAGCCGGAAGGCAACAAAAAAATGCACGCACGCGGCGCGCGTTTCCAGTTTACAGCACGAAGGAGGTAAGCACAACTACATAACTTAGTCATTGGCACGAGCAGTTAAGTAGAAAGACAATTGCGGTGCGTGTAGGCGTTTTAATGACACGCAATTGGCCAAGCGAAATGCCCGAATGACCGTTCGTATGCTTTCATACGAAGATTAGTACAAGGAGAGGAGTAAATAGGGCCTTTACACTCCAGGAATCGATCGGATTTATCAATGACATTGGAATCTTAAATGAATACTATAACACATACAAAGAGCGTAAATTATGGTCAAGGTAGATGACGAAAAGACTTACAGAAGATCGATCAATGGTATGGACATAATAGCTGAATGGCTTGTCAGTCCAAGACACTGCATCGTGAATAGGATTCAGACAAGTCACGTGCATAATTGATCCGATATCTGAAAGAAATCGGGAATCAATCAATTCTCAAAACCGATACATAAGAGCACTCCGTTGCGAACAAATGTTTATCTGTTTTATACAAAATTACCATGATTGCAACAATAATGAAACAGAAAATAAAACTCCACTTTGACACGCAATCACACGAAGCGCACAAGGCTTGATCATAATCAGTTTGCCCGAACACCACTCTAAAAGCACGAGAAATACTTACCATCAAGCTTGCGATCAGTAATTCGAAAGTTTAGCGAGCAGAAAGCTTTTGAAGCAATAACTTTTGCACCCTCCTTTAAGTTTGCGAATCGGAGCTTTAGCTGATGATCGACCTCTGGGCCAAAAGCAAAGTTGTTCGCAAAGATCACGGTTGAGGAGACAATTTTTTCAGTACACTCATCAGAGAGAAAATCCCCCTGTTCTAACTGCATTGAAAGAATAACAGAGAATATTACTATACGCCACGGCGAATGCGGAAATTAAGAGCACAAAATGACAACTTAGTTGAGCAAACGGCACCGAATTGGCAAAGCTTCCAACTATGAGCCTGCTATTTCCAATTAGGTAGGCATGATACCCGCAACATGAAATACATCAGATAAAAAGCATGGCCTTTTAAGAAGATCGTAATAAAAATTAAGCCTCGTATATATTACCTCATCAAAATCATGTATGTGGCGTTCAGTCATGCAAAACGTCTACTCACATGAACGCAAAGATTAAGCATAAAAGCAATACAACTGTTAGGACATTATGCCTACTTACCACATATGGCTGGTACTTCTTGCCGTAGAAGGCCATCCAACGCCGGAACTCCTTATCTAAGAGAACAGCACAATGCGCAGGGTAGTCCGCCTTTTCAATTCCATAAGAAAACTTAACGTCGCATGACGCAGCTACTTGTAGAACTACTTGGCCTACACCACTGCCCAAGTCGATAAAAGTATCTTCACTCCCAATTGATACAGTTTCGATCATTTGGGAAATCAATTCAAAGGAGGTTTCGCCATACACCTGGGGCGAAAACGGTGGATACTGGTTCAGTTTATCGGGGTCCTCAATAGCACGGTTATAACAGTTGGCCAAAATGTATTTTAACTGATGGGTCTTCGCTCTGCGATTATAAAACTCCGGCACGAATCCAGTTTCCGCCCACTGAATAACAGTTACAACACATAACGCCTCTTACTTTATCACGAAGACCAGAGATACAGGAGTTGTAGAGTTCGCAGTATGCTGAAACCGATTTCCATGAGGTCCAGGTGACAGATGCAAAGGCATTTAATAGAATTTTGTTTTCAGAGAGTTCTTTCACGTCGAATAAAATAAAATTAAGACAATCGTACAGTTCCCTATTTTCGTCTTTAATCTGATCATCCTAAAAAGCAAAGTTTGAGGTAAATAACAAGGTATGTTGCATGTAGAGATTCAACATGAAAGAGGTCTCAACACTTACTGCACACTTGATCAAGCGAAAAGTTTCATCAGGTGCTCCAGCGGGGCTTTTAATTATAACCTCGTAGACCTCAACCATCGGAAGACATCAAACAGGACGAAAATCCAAATGACACCCTCACGCACAAAATCCGATCAAACGTCCTGATTCATCATGTGACCTTAAACGTCACCAATAAGAATCGGCCTTAGTCAGGGTCAATCTAAAAACTGAAGCCGCGAGAAAAATTAGGAATTTAAAAGTTTTCAACTTTACATGTCGCAGAAATAATCAATTTGTGTATTTTTTTTATCAAAAACCATGCCACAATTTTATGTGAACTTAAAAGGCTTTGTAAGCTTGCAAAGTTAGTGTGGGTTGGTTGAAATAGCTGAAAACAATTAAATGTCGACGAAAACTTATACAATTTATACCTTAAAACTTGGAGTTGTCCTGAGGCAAATTTGTTGCTTAAAAATATAAATGCCATTGTAGAGTTTAATTTATAGGACCAACTTTTAGCTCTTATAGAAACCAGGTTTTTGAATTAAAGCAAATAACATTTTCTGCCATTTTTCAAACTTGGCATATTATCCCATCATCTCTAATGCAAAGGAATTTTTAATAATTGCAAGAAGTCCAGGTTATTCCCATTTAAGCAATAATTGTTCAGTTGAGGCGTGATCAGATGTTAAGGTGTAAGACGGGATTGAATAGGACATCATTCCTAGCGTCATTGAAAAATTTTTCGGGGGTAATTTTTGCCATCGTTTATGTTCCAGTCTGTTCCTTCTGCTTCGATGTACCATTTCAAAATATCTTTAACCTGTCTATCAGTAAGTGCTGAGGTTTCACAACTTTCAATGGCCCAAGCAACGTCATCTCCCAAGTCTGACTTTGGCCAAAAAATTAAATTTACTTCACATTTTCAAATAATACAATTATTACTTAATTGTAATCTGCCCACATACTCAGTAAAACAACCTCGGATATTATTGTACCTTTTTAACGAACTTCCTGAATCGCTTATACGCTATTCCGGAACTCTAGCAACTTAACACAACTTTCCGTTCATTGAGCAAATATTCTGCCTTAAAAGGCAGCTTCTTTAGGTCTTCCATCTCTATTTGCCGATGAAATTTGATGTTTTGAGAACAAGAATTTTCTTTCCAAGCCTTATACTCCAGTTATGTACATAAAAGTGCTTACGTGTGCCATAAGTTCATCCTTGGTCTGCTCCGGCTCAAAGGACTACATTTCGGAGTTAAATGCCACAAAGGGATCTGTAATCCCACATCTTGTTCGATGAAATAAGGTAAGCAACAGAACGGGCATATATAATATATATGATACTTCTGGTATTATATTTACGGAAGTTACTTTCAAGCCGCGAGTATGGGTTACAAACAAATTATGGGTAGAGCAATTTTGTCTACTTCACCTTGATTCCCTAACTCAGTTATATAAAATGAGGCTAATTACTTGTAAACTAAAATCCAGCTAGTCGAGAAACATCTGTATGAAAATCCGTAATTAATAATTAAGATTAAACACACACTCCAGTGAACAAATTTAAAAATGATCCTCAGAGGAAAATGAAGATGGCAGATAAAAATTGACGTCAGATTTTTAAACTCAGGCTTCAAGGTTTCACTCTTAGCCTTAACTGTGAATACTGACACACTTTACTACGCTACGGCTTCAATTTCAAAAGTATCCCGTTTGGGATAATGTAATATCGCTCTTCATTAGCTACCCTACCACCAAAGACAATGGTACAATCACTTCATTTTCTGTCAATAACACAGCAGCTAGGGAGGATTGTCTGTCACATCCCATCTTTCGAAGTGCATCCGACACTCAAAGATGTAACTTGCCACAGCCAAAGCGTCCCCTCACTGAGAGACCCCAGTTATTGTTCAAATCGTACAACAGGGACTCGGATGGTGTTGGTGTTTTCTCACATCATCGGCCATGATGATATTCCAAAGACTACGGTTCCCCTCAATAGCTGGAGTTTCATTTTGGATCACTTTCAGAAAATCCGTAGTCAAGACGTTATCTGGAGAGAGCCCTACACAAACCTCGAGGGGAGGGGACATCCATCAACACCCTCCACAACTTCGTTCTACTGCATCAGATAACATCACCTAAAACACCCTCTACTCACCCGTCACTGCCCAAGGTATTTATGGTCACGGATTGCGCAAGACAAATCCCGCTGCTTGCTATGAAATCCAGGCGCATAGAACCTCCGCCGACGGAAGTAAATACTCAATTCGAGATAAGACAACCGACCGACACGTGATCTATGAATAGAGCATCATTTCGAGAGTCGGAATTTAAACGGCAATTATCGGGTGACGGTGGATCACGACATACTGGCTAATCACCGTAACCAAATCCAAGGCAAACAAGGGCTGGAGATGCCCAACGGACAAACTTCTTATCAAAACACCAGGCTAACAAACAACTAGCAGCAGATCGGTCAATCTCCACAAGACAAGGAAGTGGCAGACATTGGCAAAACATTACTGTCCAGTTGTTCTTTTTATTCTTTGCTGTGCATTCACACTATTATTGATATTAATCGCCTCTACTCATACACATCCATCTCAATCCACTTGTTGTGTCCGACCAGGACAAATATAGGTGAGCCCTGTTGGGGATCCACGATTCCCCAAGATTGGTTTCTGATGCTATTTACATTAATCCACTAACATTTGTTTTGTTACGCTTTTTATCAAGTCAAGGTCAACCCTGACTTGAATTATTTTCACTTTCGATACTTGACTTCTTTGCACGTGGCTAACGTGAATAAAGCTCGCTACACGAGCTCTGGTCTTGTTCTTGTATGAGACTGGGAAGGTCGGTTCTAGCTTCAGCAAGGGATCTAGTACCTTTATTTGAGTGGTTTTCTCTTTGTTACGGACAAACGTAACAAGCACATTCGAAGTCCTTGCACTGTCTGCCTGCGAAAGTAGAAGGTCTCTAGCCACGATAGCCTGCCTGTCTTTGTGCTGCATGGGAAAGTATAGGATTGGAGTTAGTCAGGGATGTTATGCCGCCGCCTCTCAAGGTCTTTATGGCTGCTACTAAGTATGACAGGGCACGCTTCAAAAAGTTGCTACGATCTGTTAACATTACCGTGATATGGGATCTGTAAATGGTCCGATTAAAATAAAAAATCAGTTGTACTGTATTTTTAGTCCGATAAGTGACACGCTAAAGCCTGCTTATTTACAAAGTATTTTCCTAGAATAAATTAACACATTCTTCCAACCGCCGAATTTATGGAGGAAGCCCAGAGGAAGCATGCTTTGTCCTACAAATTAAAGTCTCCAATACCGCCAATTTCCCTTCTCGAAGTTTTGTTAAGATCCGGCTGTATTGCGCTGAAGCCTATTCCTCGTGTGTGCACAGCTGTGGGTATTGCACCTCGTGGATAGACCGCTCGGTCGTCTATGCGATGACTTCGCCACCATCCAAGGCGAGCTTATGTTGGGGAACCACGATACCCCAAGATTGCTCATCGTTGGTTTTTGGCACTATTTACACTAATTCCCCAACCTGTGTTTTATTACGCATTTATCAGGCCAAGGTCAAACTTAACTTGAATTTGTGTCCACTTTTGACAAGTCACTCGCACTTGGCTGACGTGATTAAAGCCCTCTACATTAGTTCTAGTCTTGTTCTTGTGTTAGCATGGGAAGATCGGTTCTAGCGTCAACATGGGATTCGAGCGGCTTTCTCTTTGTTACGGGCAAACGTAGCAGCTTATTCGTCAACTAATTACTTGTGCACACACACCATGGTGTAGGTTTTCCAAATGACAATTTTTTGTGATCATAAGAAAAAATTCATTAAAGAGGGGGCGAGTCACTGGCCGCACTGTTTTAGGGCACCTCAAAAACACGCTACACTTTCTGCAGACACGAGGTTTCGTCTACCATTTTCACCATCCACGGTCAGGTCGCACCAAAATCATCGGAAGCATCAGAGAAAACTGTGCTAGCTATCACTACACCTACGGCAGACATGCTCACGAGGCATGAGCAAGTAGCCCTGGAGTTCGATTACGGTTTAACCCCTCCTGTATGGACATGACTCCACTGACTTGTCTGTCAGTTGTATGTTACATTCATAGACATGCATGGACATATCGACACATTGTCACACCCAGATGCAACAATTGAGTCACTGCCGACTTCAGTCCTCCCTACTCTTCAGCTGTGCCTGTCTAATTGACGGTCCGATTTCGAGAAAGACGACCGAAATGCTTTGTAGGGTAATGAGTCGTGATGAAAACCATCGGCACTAGATGAATTGGCCAACAATGGCTGCTTGGCTGTTAAACCAATCCCGCGTGTTTAGTCTGAGCAATTGCTAGTCAACCCGCATTGAGGCAATAAGCACTGCCAACTTACCGGTCATCGGTGGATCGAAACATATTTCGATTGAGTAATATTCACTAAATTGACTACCATGATTCCAAATTTTCCAATCCCCGCACTATGTGCTTACTAACACATAAAATGTCGTCAAATCCTCGCAGGCTTCAATTGAACGCAAAGCCATTTTATCGTGATAATGTCATGTCTGGTGAAAGCTGCAATCGGTCAGACTCCGAAACGACAGAAAATCACTTTTTCACCTGCTTTTTAATCGACGTCGGCACTGCAAGTAATCCATCCAAGTGGCCGAAAATTGACAGACTTGGGTAGAATCAAAGTGGCCTTTGCACGTGTTTGGAATCGGCAAGCATTTACGCTCCTCTGGTGCTTCTACAACCTGTTCACAGAACACTCGGGGTGTTCCACTGTGCATTGGGAAATTTCACCTGTTTGATTTATTGATTCTCGGTGAAGCAGCACTGTGCTGACGCCCACACAACTGGGGAGGCAGTCGTGGATCTTGGGGGTATGCGAGGTAAATACAAGAGTGTACATGCGAGTTGTAGGAATTGTGGCATGCTTCCTCAGAGGCTACACAGAGACCCAGATTTGCATTAACCACTTTCTGTCCGGTTCCAAAACAGGAGAATCGAAATCACCTGGCGCAGGAACTTTAAGCACGCAATTGCTTTACATATTGCTTGCTAAGTCTCAACTATTTCACGCCAGCATTGAGAAGGTTCTAACACTACACGCAATAAGCAATGTTATAAAAAGGAAGTTTAACAAAATGATTGCATAATTGCATTTGTAGAAACATAGCCATACCACTCGTACTTTTGATGCCAAAATCCCACAAGAAAGTTCATCATTGTTAAGTACACGCAGTTAGAAGATAGAGCGGGGAAGGTAGCGAGAGCATATTATGGGAATTCATGATTACATTTGATAGCAAATTGCCACAGTAGGTCATAATAAATACAAGCAATTCACATGGCGCACAGAGGTTACAGCGCTTTCCCGCTTTCCTCGTCACTTGTGTCAGCAGCATCGCCCCTACCAAGAGAGGAGCCGGAACGGCCTTCACTGCCCGGAGGGCTGGGTGTGGCCGTGCCATAGCGTCTGCTGGATTCCTGCTTGTCCTCACCTTCTGACACCTCGTCGACTCTTCCGAGTAAGGACGAGCTCGTACTGGTTCGCGACTGGGGTCTCGGACCACCTGGGGTTCCCACTGCCGCCTCCTCTTCACGCTCCCTGGTCCCTCTGTGAACTGGAGCCTCGGGACTGTGAGGAGGTGTGGGGGACGCATTGCTGCCTCGAAAGGGAGACCCCTCGTCCGCAGTCTTTGTGACGGCGGCGGCGGCACGACGAAGGCTGGGGGTGGATACCGATGTGGGCATCACCGCAGACTTCGTCGGTGGCACGCGGAGGGGAGAGAGGGTGAGCGGAGAACCGGATAGACCGCCGGTCCGGCGTTTCTTCGAGGAACGCACGCTTGAAAGCTCCGCCTTCTCCCTCTGTAAGTTTCGAATGGTGTCCTGATTGGAGGAGAAATGAAAAGTGCGAAGAGGATAGAACAAAAAACACAGATAACTCTTCAAAGTTCTAAGAGGATAAATGGTGTTTTGGTTAAGAGAGCAATGCTAATGAGACTCGATTTGCTGTTAGTAAACACTACACGGAGATGTAGGCTGGATGAGGTGATGTTTCAGGCCAGATAAGTTACCGATAACGAAACAGCACTTAGCGCTTATTCAGACCATCGTGATTTGCTGTCATGTTTGGTTGCGTGGAAGCGACATTGGCGTGTTTGTCCAAGCAGTTCTTGATCTTCACTACGATTAACCAATCGTGACGAGTACCTCTGATTGTCGCATTTGACGTTTGGTTTTTTACCACAACTTATAATTTGCGGCAACGCTCGTACTTCCCACCAATTACACTGCGAACCGCGAATTTCAACAGCGTCCACGGATCGCTCAATAAGTGCAGAAACTACCTGTTGAAAACTTTGATCTCGAACATATTCCCGAGGCGAGTTTCGAAAATTTTTAAGATCACACGTAGTTTAAGTTAACGGAAAATGATCAGCTCAGTAGCACATACCATTTAGACGTTCCGACAGATTTTATGCAATTCGTGTCTTTAGCGATTGCCTAGTAGACTAAAAAATAGCAAAGAATTGTCTATACCATTTCACGAAGGTAAACTCAACTACTTACAAACTTCCTGTGGACATTTAGGGATAATAAAGCTTTTAGTGAATATGTATCACTACACAAAATGCAGCAAAGTTATAATAACAATAATAATAATAATGAAGATGATGATGATAATCAAGAAGCACCGATTACAACAAATTGATTATGAGATTTTCGGAGGAAGAATTTCGAAACATACTAAGCACATACCTTAAGTCTGTTGATCTCTTCCTTAGCCATACGCTCCGATTTGAATGCTCGTTCCCGTTTCTGTGATTCGCAGTCGTCTAGGTCGGATTTAAGGCCAGCTATGATTCTGTCTTTTGCTAGGAGTTCTGCGTCCTTCTGGGCTAACTTTCGTTTCAGAATTTTAATGTCATCCTGCAGTTGGCTTATCGTCAAGAGATGCTCGTTATACGCAGAATCCATGCTGAAACAGTACAAGATGATTAATGTAAACGCACAATTTTAAAGTAGATGAGGCGACCACACTTATTGTGGAAAACGAAAACATGTGTTCATTTGGCAGAAATAAAAGGCAGAAAAATTTCTCATCTTGGCTCAAAATCTATAAGCCATAAAACCGTTAAAAAATGAATATTTCATTTTGACCCAAGGAACCAGGCGATATGTCTGCCCTAACGTAAACACATTATAAATAATTATGGGTTTAGACACGAAATGAGAGCTGACAGACCACATGAACAAAATTAGCATTACCACAAAGTGGCACAAATCGATAGGTGGCAAATCAATCGACGAAAAGTGCATCCGAAAAAAGAACAGACAACACACATTCCTTGGGTCATTAAGCGTTTGCTTAACGATGGCAAACACAGTAGCAGCGCTTCAGGAAGTCTCCATTCTCCAAGTAGTTCGGCTAAAATCGACTGACGACGAAATAGACCACAAATGTAAATCTGGAAATCGATGCTGGGCAAAACTATATGACCCAAAATTAAAGAAGGTACTTAGAGAATGAAACACTGATAATTAGGTCATTCAGGTTTCGAGGTTTAGAGCTCGTCAAAAAGGGGAATTACAACTCGAGAAGGAAAAAGATACTTAGCATAAAAGCTGAAACGATATTTATGGGACGATATCTAAAGTTTTAAACATTCCAAATAGGATTCGACTTTCATTTGATTGAAAAAAATGCGTGATTTGGAACGTGAATAAACATGCTTAAATAGTCCAACCCATACCTATAGGTGTTTGTATTTGCAGAGCGGTTAGCTGAATGACGACTAGTATAGTCTTCAGTTCTTTGGCGCCTAACAGCAGAAAGGCTAAAATTGGATGTTTTGCGATGTAAGATAACTTAACTATAAAACCAAGTAAAGCGTTTTCACATACACATTGGTTACTGAACCTTAATTAGACGAAAACGTACTTTGATGAGTCGCGAGAGGACCTAGGCATGAATGCATCGTCCAAACTGTTGCGCTTCGATTGAGACCTGTCAGAACGTTCCTTTGATTTCGCAATTTTGTAATCGTATGTGCAAACCCAACAAAGAATTTTTCCATCTACCTTGCTACGGCTAACCTAAAAATTGCAGAAAAAGCTGCCGGAATGAAACGCCACATTAAATAAAATTTCAAAAATGTGAGCAGGTGAAGTAAATCGAAAATGGGCATACCTCATCCTTATAAAATGCGCATATTTGTAAACATTTTTGACATTGTTGTGGATCACCAAACTTATTGCGGTAGTGTAGGCAACGCTGACAAACAAGCGCACTTCCATAAGCCATTGGGAGAAGACAAATTGTGCAAGGCTTTGGCTCGCCATACTTGGTTTTAGATGACTGACAGCGAGGGCAGATAGTACCCGGTCTACGCAATATTACATTAAAAGCACAACAATTACAAAGACTGCTTAAAATCGGCTCTGCAATATTCGCACTGCTTAAACGACGAATGATGTGGAGTGCATATCTATGTAAAAATTGATGGTGCGAAGCATTTATAAAACCTTGCAAGTTGTTCCAGATCGTGACATCTGTGAATGTGGAAAGCTTTTCAGACATTTTGTACAGGAAAAGAGCGGCTGGTCCATAAATTGTTAAAAAAGACTGAAAAATGAAAAAAATTGATGCATACACACGAAATGTTTAGTATCACATTAATCCGCCAATAGCAAAACGGCCTTGGTAAAT